GGGGGGGGGGAAAGCTATTTTAAAAGTCACAGGTAATAGTTTATTGCTAAAGTTTCCCAGGAAATCCAGTCAAGGCTATACCCTGCTGAAGTTAAGTATAGCATGTTCATACGGCAGCTATAGCATGAACTATACTCTGGCTCTCAGCACCTTCCTTGGTATTGTCATTTGTGAAGGGCCACAAACATTTAGTGTTATTTATGAGAGTTACATGTAACTAGTTGGAATATGGAAGTATAAATGTATAAATTAAAAACAGTACCACGTACTGAGAAGCAGCTGCGCTTTTCTCTAGCCAATAGCTCTGTGAAAGTGATTCCACTGATGCATTTTTAACTGTATTACTACTTGATACTATAACTATACTACCAGTTGCTAAATTGTTGTATTAAACAGAGCTAATGCGGAAAGGATTAGGATAGAAGTGTTTTATTGTAAGAGGTGTGTGGGATCCTCTTCGTTTCGCTGCTAGTAAGATGATTATTTTCGTTTTAATACCTACAACACCCCAAACCTCCACACCTGGCAGAGTCATGGAAACATCTGGTCTCGATTTTGCAAATTTGAGACTCTGTTGTTATCATCTTTTAATTATATGTAAAACCAGTTTCTGTTGTAAAAGTATGTGAATTATTTCAAATGAATCACCACAAAACCAGGATTTTTGTGTGTGTGTTCGGCACCATTTCTCACCTACACTGATAAATGAGATGCTAATATACAGCATGTGAAATATAAAAGGGAGCTTATTCCTTTTGATACAAAAAGTGATGTGAGAATTCAGTGAAAAATGAAACCCAAGTATTTTAAAGCAATGTGTCCCATTTGTATTCTCTGTAAGGAGAGCACTTCTGATGAGCACCTATCATATCTACCAGGAATCTCTTCCGCTTTCTTTGCTTAAGATCCTCTCATCTGTAATAGAGGAATATTTGTCATACAAAGCTAAATGCTGATGGCTTTTCCTTCCTTTACACAAGGGAGGAGAGTATGTTGAATACTCAGGCTCTGTTCGCGTGCTTGAAAGAAAAAAACAAGAGTAGAGTCTCTCTCTGCAGCCACCGAAGCCTTTGGCTTGCACTGTGAATGGTCACCAGTCCTTAAAATTATGTGAGCTTTTGATAACAACGCTCATACCCTGCCTATTCCCTTTCTTGGGGGCCCATCTCTTTGCAGGTGCCTCATTCTGTAGCTGAGGGCAATGGTAAATGATTATTTTTTGTGTGTGTGTGACCTCTCCGTGCTCCCTTCCTTTAAACATAGTGGCAATATGTGAGGCTTTCCAAGCCCGTCAGGGCCGTGCATCATCTTTCCTCCATGAAATTACAAGCTGTGGTTAGGGCAAAGGTTGTGAGCTCTCCAAGAATGACAGCGGGCCAAGCGTGATGCTGGGCCAAATGCGTCCATGGAGTTATAAGCAGTTATATCGCAACCGTCTGGGCCCTCCAAACTAGAAGCTTTAATACTTTTTACCTTCTTTTACACCTGCACAGTGACCATGAAAGGCCAGTGGTGGTCAATATTTACTTGGCTCATGTATTAACAACTAGACCAAACAGGGAATAGCAGAGAGCCAAGCCCAAGATAAGGCTTGAAATCCACACGGTCAGTCTTTGTTATTAGTTCCTACTTCAGAGTCAAGAGTAAAACGCCAGTCAAAAAGTAAACCGAAAAATTTAATTGTTTTATAAAATAAGATTATGAAATTCTATATAAAAATCCAGCTTCTTAAATATGGTACATTCACTTCCTCACAGAATATTTAAATATTCAGGTCACTTACGCTATATTTTCACTGTATTTGAGTTAAAATCATTGGATAAATTAAAACATCCCTACCAAAAGATACCACAACTTATACAAATAAAACTAAGCAATAATACTTTTTTAAATACAAAATGTAAAGAAATTAATAACTCTTAGAGCATGCTACAAAATTTTGCCAGAAAAATATATGGGATCATTTTTGTTTAACTAGAAAATATACAGTGTGCTCTTCATTTCTCTTCCTAAAATTCAGTCTCATTTCCATTTAACTTAATAAATATGTACAACAAAAATGTTTATTCCTCAAAGAATATAAATAGCAAATACTGTAGCAGAGCCTGGTCCGGCATTCTTTTCTCATCTAGTGACTATAGTGGGGCTTTTCAACTCTGAATGTGCAAGAATGCAGAATCAGGCTCTTAGTGTTATCAACAGGTTAATAGCTTTTACAAAAGTGATTTTATTTAAAAAAAAAAAAACCAAACCTCCAAAACCACTGCAAAAGCCTTAGAGCTATTCCAGTCAGGCATTTCTATAAATAGTAAGACATAACGTAGGGAAACAACGTTCCAGTTTAATTACTGCTGGCAGTAATTAGCGAAAAATAGTCAGTGGAGAATGAAAAATATCTTGAATTAGACACATCTTACTCTCACTGATTTAACTTGGTTCCCTATCATTTCTAAGAAGAGTTTCTGGTATAATCTATACATTGTAAATCTGTGAAGAAACTTAATCACCTTCTTCAGACTTTGGATGGTTCGTTTTGGAAAGTGGTATGTTTTCAAGTGCTTCAGTCCATACATTAAACCTTTAATGGTGTCTTGGTCGCCATTCTTTATTCTCCACAGATTGAGAAGCTTCAGAACTTGCTCTGTAGGTTGACATAGTTTCATTGTGCGCTCGATATCTTCTTTTCCCACTTTCTTGCCTGGTAAACTCGCCATCAGTGTGTTCAGATGTTCAAAGGTGAGGTTTGGGTGGCCAATATGCTTTAAGACACTATTTTCGCAAAGATCGATATCTATAGAAAGCAAAAAGAAAAGACAGGTAAGTACGACGCATCACTTTACCATAGCCTGCAAAAAAACTCCAAAATTTCAAGGTGAATATTCCTTCCCAATTTTTGTTTTTTACTTCTTTTCAAATAATTCTCTCAACAATGCCTTTTTTTAGGCTCCAATTACGAAACGCACTTAAGAACTAACTTTGCAGATACAAACAGCCCCAAATTACAAACAAAGCTCATAGCAAGTATTTACTGCTACACGCTTGTTTCATCTATCTCGTAAAATGTTCTATGTATGTGGTAGGACTCCTAATACTTGGTTCCAGTGAATGAAAGTGTTGCTTTTCTTCAGAAAAGTCGAGGCAAGCTTTGCTAAAATAACCATTTTGTTTTTTGAAGTATTCTAGACACTTCACCGTCTGACATAAGCATACATACTAAAAAGCAGAGGGGAAAGAAACCATTTCTGCAGCGTTTTTCAAGGCTATTCTGAGTGGACAGAAGGTCGTTTGAATGTGGCGGTTGTTGATGGTGGCTTACACGAAAAGAGTTGGCCTGACTCTCATGAAAACCGTGGTGTTAACACTGCAGCACTATTTCACCTTTGACACCTGTCTTGGCAGATTCAGCACAAAGTAAGTGGTGAACTGGCATGACAAATAGGTACCGGGAGGGAAGCAGAAGGGAAAGCCTATCTGCCCATTCCTCACTCCCATGCGTCCCCGTTCCATGAGTAGATGTCCGAGTCTGAGCTGTCAACCTCCGCTTTATAGAAACAAATTGCGCTCTCAGCTGCAGGCATCCAGCTCCCTCTAACCACAACAGCCACTGCTCGGGTATAACAGTAGGAAACGTTTTCCCCACTTGATCAAAATTCTTCATATGTTGTGCAGTCTCAAAAGGGATCTTGGCTGTGACACCACACACGCTCCCAAGGGGGCTACAAGTCTGGGAGGAAATCAGTCCTCAACGGAGCAGGAGAAGCTGAATTCTCTTCCTGCTTCCCCTCGACTTCACTGTGCTTACTGCATCAAAAAATCTCAGTGAAGCCCTGCAGGTCCTCCTCACAGCATATCACGTCACCAGGAGGTATTTGATCCCAAGCAATTTTTAAAATGCCATTTAAAAGGTTGCTTTTAATATACGTGCTATCAAAATAAGGTACCTTGAATAATCTTCTTGACCAAGTCCTGTTCTTTGTTTTGCTGCTTCCATAATTTCAAAAGCTGGAAGGTCTGCTCCTGAGAACTGTGCCTTTGTTTAATCCTTTCGATATTTTCTGGGCTAACCTTTGTCCCGGGCAAACTGTCTGCCAGTATGTTCAGCCAGTTAGGTGTGAGCTGGGTAGGAACAGCAAACCTGAACAAAGCCTCCTCACACAGGGTTACATCTGAAATTAGAAAAACAGTGTGTCAATTGTTCTGATCTCTGTTACCCTGCTTGTCTCTGGGGGGAAAAGAAAAAGCAAGTAGCAAGGATGATAAGAAAAAAATGCTTAAAAAACAAACCAAGAAGTGGTTTGGCTGTCACTCTCTGTGCTTGAGTTCCATTTGCTCTGATCTACAATAACTAAACCTCTACCATGGCCATCACCAGAGCAGGCAAATGGCTAACAAGCTAGATATTTTAATCATAAATGCTGACACATTAATTTTAACTGTAACTAACGGTATGTTTTCAGAGCACTCTTCCTTAATACGATACATACCTATTCCACATTTTTGAGATGCCGTATCTGTATTTTCCTGACAGACATTGTCACGAACTGCATTTCCCTTCAATGCTGTTTTGAAACCCAGTGCACTACAGTTTGTGTGCTTTAGGCAGGGTGCTTTGGATGATGTTTCATTCGAGAAAAATCCTTCTGGACATCTCTTACATACGGTGTCACTCTCAGGGGTACCTGTGGAAATGGGAAAACAATGCGTCCAATTACATATAACCTCAACTGTGAAAAAAAGAGACAAGAATACAAAAATAAAAGAAAATATTCCTCCCCAAATTGTCATGCTTCTGCTTTTTGAATTTCTGAACTATGAAGGAAACACATTTAGAAAAAAAAACCCCACTTTAATTTTTAAAAACAAAACAGGATTCTTTGTGAGAATGATGTTCCTGCTGGAGTAATAGAGGAATAGTACTCTTGCCTACACTTGTTGCCAACTTTAAAACCAGTAATTACTGATTAGACCAGTAATTTAGTAAAGTAATATCTTTAAATCACTAATCACTTGAGTCTATTCGACAATACATAATGTCCGACCTTCATCCTTCAACTGTACCAATATTCTGTAAAATAATTAAATGGCAGAAGAAACTGCACTAAATTGTACTCTGTGGTATCTGCCCAGAACCTTACTCAAATGGGTTGCTTTAGTTCTAGCTAAAAATATAACCCAACTAAACAGCAACTACAGACCCTCTGAAAAGTATTTTCCCTGCTCAAATATTAAATTATACAGGAAAATAGAATTTCAGTAGCATTTCTGAACTTTTTTCTGGGCTTGAATAAAATATTGTTTAAAGCAAAGAAAGTAGATTCTCCAATATAGCAAAAATATTTAATGCACATAGATGTGTTCTGCTTGGTGTTTTACTTTTATAAAGCATAGTTTTTCTTCAGAATCAAATATATGATACAACAATAGAAGGACAATATACGATTCTGTCACACTGACAAAGAGGAAGAAAATTAATGCATGAAATCTGAAACAGCGCAAACAGCCTAAGTACCAGCGACAGGAAAATAACAGCACCAATAAATGCTGTATATTCACTCTTAATTCATCTTTATTCAGCCAACATTTAAGCAAGTGCCTAAAGTCTAGTATCTAATACTGCATTATTGAACATGAACTTAAGCACATGCTTAAAATTCTTTGGAAATAATTGGAAATTATATTTGAATAAGAAAATGCCTCCATCTAGTGTATTTTGCAAGTATTTACACATGGATGCTTATTTTAATGCTGGCTTTTAAGTAAATTTTATTTATGTGGGGCATTTCCTTAGAGAAAAAGAGTACAAATCTCCCATTTTCAACCAGCCGTGAAATAAAGAGTAATACTTGCGTACACCCAACCTAGCACTTCTTTCATCAGACAGCAAGTGAAAACAAAGGAGAATTTTTTAGTTGTGCATCTGAAAATCAGAGACCCCGTATACTGCCAGCCCCCCAAATCCTCCACATCCCACAGGCAGCGCCCAACCCGCAGCAGCAGCCTCTGCCCTTGCGTTTTCTTGCACAGTGTGCGCTGCCTGCAGCTCTGGGCTGGCCGTACGGAACTCCAGCCAACACCTGCGCCTGAGCAGGCAGCAATTAGCTTTGCTGAGGAGTCTGAATTTTTAGCAACTTTCCCTGCTGCAGACACGCTGCTGGTGTGGAAGCGAGGAAGGGGAAGACAGGAGAGTCCCTGCAAACGGTACAACCTTCTGCTCAGAGCTTCCCATATAACCTTTGCGGCACAAGAGGGAAATAAACCCTGGAATCTCAGGGTTGAGCTGAAAGTCACCTCCCAGCTTTGCCAGCTTCTTCTTCACTGCTTATCTGGCTGCTCTTGTTCAGGGCACAAACCGCCTGGAATCCCCCATTCTCCCCAGGGAAACAGCAGCTGCCGACAGGGAGGTAGCGCAGCCTCGCAGCAGCGCTGCTTCCCCAGCATGCTGCTGCTAAGAACTCTGCCACGTACAGGGCAGGAAGGAACAAAACCTTACTCTCCACTCACAAAAGGGGACTACCAAAGTAAAGTGATCTGCCCAACGTAATCATGAGTGACCGGCAGTGGGGAAACAGATTTCTAATGCTTTAAGCTTTGAATGAGACACTGGACCACACCATCTCCCTGCGTGGCAGTGGAAGCATATTTTTCTACACTTGGGTTTTATTTCACCTGAATTTACATCGTTACAAAGTTCAAGGCTATCATATGGCAGAAAGCAGGAACACAGTGTGGTCCATGCTTATTAAATTCTTAGTCAATGCCCCGCCTCAAAAACGGACTACAGACACGGGGGGGGATGCGATTATTTTTACAATGTTTTCATTCCTTGTTTGAGGTCTGCTTGGGTTTAGCTGGTTCATTATGATGGCCTTTTGGAAACCAACTTTCCAATGAATTGCACAATTCAACAATTTATCTTCTTCCGAAGCTTGTTTCATTTTGAACTGAGGGATTCAAAATTGCCTGCCACAGTTTCACTGTGCTCGCAGGGATGCAGCTGGCTGGCTGCTTGAAGAATTTATGCTTCTTTGCTTGCTTCCCAAACGGGCTTTCTGAGAACTTTGTTTCTGTCCCCTTTTGACTTGCTGCTGAGGTATGGTGGAACCCCATTAACCCAAGCCCCTGGGTACAGCGATTTAGGTTAATGAAGGTTTATAATACAGAAATGTGGTAACTGCTAGTGGAAATGCTTAGCAGTGGCAAGAGCACCAGGGTAGTGCTTAGTTAGCCAATTACTAGGGGAATAGTGAGCAGCTACAGCAGCAAGATTACTCCTTACATCAAAGTTGTTCTCCAACGATATGTTCATAACACGAGAAAGGACTCTGACCTGTCGTTCAGCATAGCTCTAAAATGTAAAGGACAGCCCTAGTGTTTCTCACTGTATATATGCAATTCCTAGGGAAGTAATTCTGTAGTCTGGAGATTGGTTGCCTACGGGTTCGTGTCTGAGACGCTTTGAGTTTCTGCATTCCCTTCCTCAGTGCTCTTCTCTGGGCAGTTATCAATCTCCGGTACAATGACAGTTTACAGTTCTTTCAGGCTGCATTAAATACTAGAGCTAAACTGGGCCATGACATTTGCCAAATGATAAATGATGTATTTTGTTTTGACAGAAGAACTTATTATTGGTTTAACCATTTATGTTGTCTTAAATGAAGAATACACTCCACCGAAAAGCACCACTTAGCTCTGTATCCCCACCAGACATACAGCACAATGCCAGCCCGCTTGACAAAGAAATGGTTGTTTGCTTGATAATGGTAACAGTTTCCCTAGGAGTTCCACTTAGGATGCTGATAATTAATTATTACCACATATTGCTGTGATGCTAGAGCTATATTAATACTGTTATAATTACACACTTGGCGTCAAACATGTAGTGTTCCTGGTGTTTGTCAAGATATACAGTTGCTTGAAACAGCAGATTTCAAAATGAAAAACATTATTATTTATCACAGACACAAATACTACATTCCAGATAATGTTCCTTTAAAAGAGGCAATCCATCATGTTTCTCATTAGAGTGCAATTTGCTACATTTGCTGCTGCCATTAAGTTATATATTACAGTAGGAGCAGGGTATTCCACTGAGAAATGTTCCTTTGGCTACAGTCCAAATGATGCAGACTCGGAACAGGTTCAATTGGCTTTACAATTTACTGTCCTGTAATTTCATCTGGACGAGCCTCTTTCCTAATCTTGTAACTGCCACGAGTCGCTGACGTGCGGTAGGGCTCTAATTAAGTATTGACAAGCGGTACATACCTGGCTGTGCAACGCCAAATCCGGGAGGACACTCCGTGTGCTTTAAACAAAACTCAAGCTCCAGGTATCTGCCTTCGACGCACTCGCAGACGCGGTTCTGCGTGCTGGTGCACTCCTGCCTGACATACTGCAGCTCTTTGCAAACGGCGCTGCAGTACTGGCATTCATCGTTGCTGTTCCACTCTTCGGCGTAGTACTGATCCGGGCATGGGGCACACTGCGTCGGGCTGGTGGCTGTACAGTGCTGTTTTACGTAGCTCCCAGGAGGGCACTGGTCACACAGCAGTTGATGAGATGTCCCTGGGTCATAATGGGAATACTTGGGGGAAGAGTCGTCCTGGGTGGTCCACTTAACAGCAATGTCCAAGAGCTAGCAAGAGGAAAATAAAACACTTTAGTTCCGGGGAGCACCACGGTCGCAAAGAAACCTACATTTTAATGACTTTATGAGTGTAATCATTGCTACCTTCAAAAAAATGTTTTCATTAGAAATTTATAAAATACCAGCCAGCATCCAGACTCTCCCATCTCTATCTTAGAATGGGAAAATTTTAGGATCTTATCCAGCAAATCTTCTCGACGTAAGTACTTCCTTGTTCTTCCAGAGATATAGATCCTATTCTTCTCCCATTTACACCCTTTTAATATCACCTGGCACCAGAGAACCTGGCCTATTAGTCTCACTGGCAACACGTTTGATGCACAGCAAGGTGGCGATTATGCACTCCCATGTTCTTAAGTAACAAGTACTTCAGGTGCAAAAGAAATGGTATCCGAGCATCCAAATCTGACCAGCGTACTGCACCATTACCACAGATACCTTTAAAGGTGATTCCTTACAATATTTCTTTTTACCAGCAACGAATGGCTTGAACAATATAGGTTACTTTTTAATGCCTTCCATTTAATCTTGCACAGAAATGCAGCAGCGTGGCAGCTACGTCAAGTATGAAGATGCAGCTTCGGACACAAGTAAAGAATGTTCATGAAGGGTACATTAAGGACTTAATCACACAAGCTGGAAGAGGCCTGGTTAATGCTTTCACTTCCCATCTAAAACCACAGGCTTAGGGCTGTTGTGAGGACCTGGTTCAGTACCGGCACGCGTGATGACTGCTACACTCCGGCTGCCTGCAACAGCCTGCTTTGCTGGTGTGATTTGGGACCTAGCAATCTGAGATGACCCTGCCCTTCTGCAGAGACAACCTCCCTATCATGTCACGTTGGTCTTGTAACGGCAAATTTGGTTCTGTGCTTCTGGCAGCTTATCAGAAAAATAACTCTCATGTTTACTCCCCACATTCCACCCTGAGCCCCACGCGGCAACTCACCCTCCCCACTGGGAACCCAGCCCTGTCCCAGCACTGCATGACCGACCTGCCACTTCTCTTCTAAAATTTGTGCATTTTATAAAGATGAAGTAAACTGGCTCTGAATGAAGATTTTTTTTTTCCATGTATCCATTCAAATTACAGATCCAACTGACTTGCCTTTGTTGCTATTTTAATCGCAGTCAGCTAATACAGAATTGCCAATTCAATTTCAAGAACATATTTTCCTCTTTTCCAATGCAGATGTCCCCAAAGTGTAAGTAGAATTAACTCTTTTTATTCATTCAGACTCTATATTTCCTGAAGAGGCTTCATCTAAGGGCCTCACTTCTGCCACAGCATGGCACTTGTTAAATGATAGTATTATTAATGTTGGAAAGGACAATTTAATCGTTCATCTGCATTAACACAAGTCATAGCATTTGCACCAAGTAATATTAGGTGCCTAAATTAGGAACTCTTACTGCCTTAGAGACTGTTCTTAAGTGCATTCTCCTGTTGCCTGTCTAGGAATCCACTTTTTATACAGCTATACTTAGGCTGAAGAATGAAATGCAGATAGTATGGATATTCCCCACAGCCTCTTCTAATTACCCTTGGCTAAGCCCTGTAACTTGTCCGGTCTGTGATTTCTACAGGTGAAGATTCCACTTTTTCTTGTGGTCTCAATGCACAATCTCTTCCATTGTGAGAAATTCCTTATTACTCATTGAAGTTTGATGTACCGCTCCATTTTTCTTAAATGACTGGATCTGTTTCATGTGATCTATTTAACAAGAGGGCGCAGCACATTTTTTAATAGTGAGTGGCTTTCCATTGACGAAAAATGCACCCACCCTTGGTAAATCTACAGCTATTACTCTAGTAATAAGGAAGTCCTGGCAATGCCATTAATTGTTGATGTGAAAGGTCAGGTTTTCTTCTACGGTTTTTAATCAGTAATAGATAATACAGCATCCTCACTCCACGAAGGACACCAAGGTGCTGGAGCATGTCCAGAGAAGGGCAACAAAGCTGGTGAGGGGTCTGGAGCAAAAGTCTGATGAGGAGCAGCTGAGGGAACTGGGGATGTTTAGCCTGGAGAAGAGAAGGCTGAGGGGAGACCTTATCGCCCTCTACAACTGCTTGAAAGGAGGCTGTAGTGAGGTGGGTGTTGGTCTCTTCTCCCAAGTCAAAAGCAATAGGACAAGAGAAAATGGTCTCAAGTTGCTTTGGGGGACATTTAGATTGGATATTAGGAAAAATTTCTTCACTGGAATGGGCTACCCAGGGAAATGGTTGAGTCACTCTCTCTGGAGGTATTTAAAAGATGGGTAGACTGGGTGCTTAGGGACATGGTTTAGTAGCGGACAAGTACAGTTGGATTCGATGATCTTAAAGGTCTTTTCCAACCAAATGATTCTATGATTCTATATGATTCTACGATCCCAGAGTCCAAGACTTGCATGGACACACGCATTCCCTCCGCAGAGCATAACAGGCTGCATCATGCGGCACAGATGCCACAAAAACAAGCATCAACCCACAGTTCATGCAGATGTCTGTGGAAACCCAAGACAATACCCAATGCAGGTGAAAATCTTGAACACTGATGAATACTTGAACAATATGTGTGTGAAAATGATTAGGGACGGTAACCAGACATGCGGGCAGCACAACCTTGTGCAGAAACACCAGGTTTCCTTCTCTGCAGTGCACGGCTCCCAACAATCCCCAGGCTGCCACTGCAGCAGCATCTGCTCCTCTGGGTGGTGGCTCTGCCCTTGGTGACACATTTTCAGGTTCTGGACGGTTACATGGACCATTTTGTGACTCCCCTCTTCGATGTGCAGAAGCAAGAACAACAAGATTTTCTCTGTTTTCCTTACTCAACCATTTATATTGGAAGTCATATATGAAGCAAGTGAGAAGTTTTGCTGCAGGGAATGATTCAGGATTAAAAATAATTCAAATTCAATAGTCAGGGTATGAGAGCATGGGGGTTTATAGGGAAAAATGGAGGCACTTGCTTCCCGAAGAATCTACGGCTATGTGAAGCAAGCCATTAAAAACTGAAAACAATTCAACATAATTTGAGAGTAATTGATTTAAAAAATTGATCAAAAAAATACTCGAACAATACGTGTGTGAGACCATGTGAAGTTTTGCCTTTGGAAGTACCAATAGCTATGAACTATTAATGGCAACCAGAATACTATTAATCTAAATGAGCATAACCAATAACCATAATAATAGGATTAATAAATCAGCATCACTAAAAGGACGATCAGTCTTTGCATTTGATTTTTCCTTTGTGTTTTTAAAAGAAAAAGCACATCACACCGGTCTTCCCTTCTTTTCCAGAAACACGTGGTATGTAGCTGCAATAATCCATCCATCAGTGGCTGAGCCATATGGGTGCAGGATCCAACTCTTTTATTTAGTAAACTATCATGACAAAAGAGTCTTTAGTCAAAGTAAAGCTATGAATGCAACTGGTATCTCAGTATTTTACCAGAACATTTTATACATCATTTTTAGCATAGAGCAAGACTACCATTATTATTACCATTCGGTGACTGTGATCCTACTAGTACAGTGAGCTGTGCAACTCACTGCCACGGGACATTGTAAATGCTTGAGTTCAAAATGTTACTTGTCATAGCAATGATGGAAAATAATAAAGGTCGATTAAACATAAACATCAACTTTTGTTTCAGGAAATCCCAAACCACAAATTGCTTGAGTCTGGGGGAGTGTTTTGGAACAATATCACTATTTTTCTGCCTTTTTCTTCCATCTCCTCTATGCATCAGTTATCAGCCCTTGCCATAGGCAGCATATGGGGCTTTTTAGGGCATTTCTTCTGGACTAGTTTTTTCTTAGACCCAGTACAGCCATTGTTAAGTAGATTTCTAGACTTCAATCCCCAATACCACACTTCTTCATACAACTGTAAGTCCCTTAATAATACTTAAGAGAATAGATCTGCAAGATTGTCTTCTATGCAGGTGGAAAACACCTAGCACACGTGAGTGTTCTGAATATTAATATGCAACCTGAATATCAGAAGTTATCCTTGAGCCTGCATCAAGTGCCAAAGTAAAAGCAATCTATCTTTCAGAAGTTTCGCAAAAATGCAGGAAGAATGGTGGAAGGTTATTAAGTATAATTTTTATTAGTTTTACAGCAGCAACTTGGCACAAACAGAATGAAAAGACTCTTCTTGTCCCCCAGCTCACAGAATAAGCTAGAGGGGAACTCCACTAAATTGTCCTTTTTCCTGGCCTAAGACAGGCTGAATTTGTGCTTAGATTAGCAAGTTGGATCACCTGTTACAGCAGATTTGTAGAGCAAAACAGATGGCGCCGAGCACCTGACATCCACTTTATGCATGATTCAGAGGGGTATTTTGGACTAACTTCAGTCTGCTCTCACGGACTGAACGTGCATTAGTGGTTACAGTGCATCTGGTGCGTCTCTGGAGTCCGTCCCTGGATTTACTTTCATCAATCCAGTTTACTTTTGTAAATCCACTTTGTGGACTCCAAGTCTGCTCTGATGTGCAAACTAAAATACAGTAAATAAGGATGATTGGGAAAGGCCCTTCAAAAGCATGTTCCCAAATCAAATTCAAATGGTAATTAAATGCATTTTATGTCATTCCTGACATTTCTCCTCCTAAACTACGCTATGACCAACTTAGTAGCAGATTCTCAGCCACATAAAACCTCTGATTGACCTGAATGCCCACACTTAAAGGTGGGCTATGTACTAAATACCTGAATCTCTGCTGTAAGAAATAGCACTATTTGAGCACATGAAAATGCCATGATCAGAACGTACTAGTTCTGAACATTGGTCTTCCCAAAAGATTCACAGAAAGCAGGATTTCTTCTGTAATCATGCTGGCACTGGCCTGTTTTGCTCTTGCTGGAGAAGGCAGCATGTTCCAGTTTGAAAGGAGGAAGAAACTAGAAGTCTGGCTTCAGTTTACTGGAATCAGAAGTAGGGGCAATGGGCATGTTCACCCTTTAACCCTTAAGAAACCAAAGCTGGAGTCCATCAGCGCTACACCTGGTGAAAGTCATGGATTTGTCATTCAGAAGACTGCGTGAAATTCTCTTCATCCTTGTTTAGGAAAGGTTAATTCAGCCTGGAAGAGGTACTGAGAAAGTTTAGAAGGAAATGGAGAGCTTCGTCTTGAAGAAGATCTTGCCTTGTTCAGTAGCTTGGCAAGTCAAAACAGTACCTAAAAATTCAATACAGACAGACTTTGAGCACACGGAGAGAGAAGAACTTTCTCCGTTAAAGGATAATGCTGGCAAATGAAAGGGGGATTCTCTCGCCAGAGGAAGTTTCAGAACAGCCTTTTACTGAGAAGCAGGTGCAAGAAACCCAAGTAGTTTAAATATAGCTCTCAATGCATTTCTGAAAGCAAATACACCATTTGTTTTCCTGGAAGAGCTGGGGAATGGACTGAAAATATCTAGGCAGTTTCTTTCAATTTTAAACCCCAAGCAAATCCTTTATATCCCAAGACCGATGGAAACCAATGATACTCAGTGTGTTGTTCATCTCAACAAATTAACTGTTAGTCTGATTCAGAGTGCACTCAGCTGCAAACAGTTTTCCTAGGGGTAGTGAAATGCAAGGCTCAGTTTAAAAAAAGTCTCAAAGGCTGGGGTTTTTTTGTTCTATGAGTATGAAATGCTATCAGTAACAAAATAATTACAACAAAACAAAACCAAAACAAAATCTGGTATCGTTAGCTACATCTATCACCCTATTGGGTGAAATTCAGTTCTAGTGTCATGAGCTTAGTTCTGAAAGGACTGAAAAACTCAGTCCTCATCCATCTCCCTGGGCCAAATCCTGGGTACCTCTCAGGATGCCATCTCTGTGTGAGGAATTGGGCTGAAATACAAGTCTAGTGTAAGTCAGTGTCATGCAAGTAAATACTGAGAACTTACTCAAAATGAATTACCCAAGGTTAAAAAGCAATTCTTTGATTCTGTCACTCAACACATAAGGCCTGAAGCAGTATTTTTCCATACCACCTTTTTATGTCAGCATACACAATCTAACATAAAAGGCCTGTGCAGTCCATTTATTTGAGCCCTTAGAAGATGCTTTTGAAAGAGAAATAATGTGATTGTAAAATTTCATTTCAGATCTTGGGCATGAAAAAAGTACACGCCCTTTTCTTTCATCTTTAAATGTAAGGCAAAGAGCCACTTGCTTTTTCTTGTTGAATTAAAATGAACTGGAAGACAAAGCGCATAAAGCAAAAATCCTTCAAGCTTCATCCCCTTAAATCACTGCTTTGTGAGAGAAAAGAAAGTGGCTTTTCAGCATATGAAAATATTATTGTATAGCTTGGCTTTGTGGTTTTGGGTTGTAGACCAAAGGAGAATGTTTAATTTGCTGAGAAAGATAAATCTGTTTCTGTTTTGCATTCCACAACTATTCCGAAGCATATTTTCCTGCGTGATAAATAATCATTCAAGGCATCTGTCAGCTTGCTCCTAGTGTTTGTGTTGTGTTCAAAGTAAAACCTCACAACTCTCCTACTTTGCTTTCTACACAAAGTATTTGGACAAAGCTAAGGCAGGAGGCCTTCACCCACCCTCAGCCCTTAGGCAGAATGCCTCACTGGAGACATGCACAGACCCCAGAGAAATCCCAGTGGCAAAATAGAGCACTGAATGGTAATAATGAGGTCCTCCTGATCAATAGCTTGTCAAATCAACACAGTATCTCTAGATCTAGTGCATGGCAGTGTCATGCTGGATCAGATCCATGGCTGTCTATTGCAAATAACTGTTGTGGAATATTTGTCATCTAGGGAGAAATGGCTCCCATCTGTCCGGGAGACACTCAACTCTCATCCTCCTCACCTTGCTGTCCTGGGGGGCCCCATGCAACCACCAAACGTAACCTCTTTGGGCCAACAGCTATGAAGTACTGCTTACCCCGGGAGCTGCGGCAGGCTCACTTAGAGCACAGCCCAGCCAAAGCACCTTTTGGCAGACCGCAGCTGAGCGTCAAGAACACAGCGAAAGCGAAAATGGAGTCGTTTTCACTGGTTTGAGTTTAGCTTATAAAGCTGTTCCACCATTCTGCCAACTGCTTCAATGCAATCTACTCACTTTGGACATAACAGGACCGCCTTTTATATGGAAGATGCTTTATAAAGTGGAGGCTGCTCTTTCACATAAGGAAGGTAACTAATGACTCTCCTGAGCCACCTGTATTCAAAACTGAGGCTATCAACCACTGTCTTCATTCCTCTGTCAGTAAAGCAATATGTCCACAATTCAAATCTTGTACAGACTTTGTAAGGCACCGTTAGTTGTCATTCACAAACCAACTTACAGGTCTAAACTACTATTTCATCTTCAGCTGAAGAGCAGTTTTGTATCTTATCAAAGAAGTGCTAAATTGAAAGTCTTCGTTTATACGGGTTACATTTGCCTGGAAGCTTGTGGGGGGAGAAAACAGAAAAGACTTAACTAGCTACTCACCAAAAGATGTGTCGTATCCATAACTCATATTTTAGCATATTATTACAGCAAGGTTTAGAGATAACCCAAACTTGGGAGGTTACCACCATGACTACAGCCTGCCTTTGCACTGAACAGAATTACTAACAGCTGTCCAACTAGCTAAAGAAACAGTATGTCCAGTACTATGTGCAGACAGGTTGTTTTCTCCCAAAGACTGTCAGAGTAGTAAATCTACTAGCATAAAAGTTAAATACAGAAGGAACAAAACGAAAGTTTCTGTGAGATTTGAACAGTGGGTGTTATTTAAATTGTGACAATATCTTTTAAAAATTCTTCTGGTAACCTTGGTGGTTTATTTTTAACCAACACACATGCAGACAGACAGAAAGTAAGTCAGACAGAAAGATAACTCCTACCCTCGCGGGCTGCAAAGCCACTGCTGCCTACACACAGCAAACCCAACAGGCCGGCCAGAAAAAGCATGTCACATGTGCCCAGAGATCCAAAATAGAGAAAGGTCAAGTTTAAGGGTCAAGATAGTTACGTGACAAGTAATGAGATCCAGCTCTGGGGAATTTCTTTCATTTCAGTCCGATTTCATAACGCTTGTCTGTTTGTAAGCAGTTTTAGTGTTCCAGCAAACAACACGTACATGCATGCACCACCACATCAGGTCCCCTTTCGGAAACCTTAGCAAAAAGGCCAAGGCTGAAAGTACATCATGTCCAAAGAGTCTTTTTTAGGTATGGTGTCTACAAACCAGGTTTAAGGTATGTCAGCCAAACACACACAGCTTTGCACTGCCGTTGTGCCTCTTACAAGCGTTCTTGTAAAAGAGGTACTAAAGCTACTTTCCTGAGCTCTAACACATCTGACAGTACTTAAACTTCACTGACAGTACTTAAACTTCACAATAACTTTAAATAAATTGCTTTTAAATAATAATAATAAAAAAAGAGTTGAATGATGAAGCTCTCTGGTATGTGCTCCTGCCGCTGACATATTTCAGCTCCAAGACTCATCTGCCAGAGGATTATGCTGAACTTCACCAAATGCTATTACTTTGTGGGAGAACATGAACAGGCACATTACATTTAATCAAAATCAAAATACTGATGCGATTATTTTATGACAGCTGCAGATAAGAAGCCAAGCTGATAATAGGCTATTGCTGAAATTCCCAGACTAACTTCCTGTGCTTTCCTATAGACAAAGACGGCACACCATCATATGTGAGATGAAAAAGTTGTCCTGCGTCTGCGTTTCAATTTGCTGACCACAAGACTGACAATTTTTGCTTCCCTTGCACCATTAATTACTTTGGTTTGTTTCTCAAAAAGCTCTTTCAGAAAGTTGTACGGAGAGTAATAAACATGCATTACTCATCGGATCCTGGAAATCTTGTTGCATTTATAATAAGCTTTCAAAATAAATGGATCTCAGTTCTAACGCCCTGCCACAACATTAATGCCACTGTACTCGTTAAAACAGCCTAGGAACAAGTTACCGTGCAGGCATGCATAACAGCCTGCTCTGAATATTATTTTTTAATGTTTTTCTTTGAAAGTTTTCTTATCCAAAAGATGAATAGCCTCCAACTAGATGTTACACAGCATCTGTAGTCTGTATGCAGGTTTTAATTAATCTGACATCATATACGATTCCATGCAGCTAAATGGATTAAATGGCATTTTGAAAGATTTACTGCATTGCTAACATCTCTAAACTTGCATCCAGGAGTATCTTGCTCAATCATCAAGTAAACAAAAACTTATTAAAGCAGGGGTTTATACCGGATTCAATAACACAACTTTTTCTGTAATAGCTACAGACACAGCTACTAATTCATCACTTTCTTGCACTTGAAGCTTAATTTTCTAAGCCAAAACAAGCACCACATGCTTGTGCTTTTTTCTGGAGTTTGCAGTGATTTTCCTGGGTAAGAAAGCCAGCCCAGTATCTCAAATACCGACCAGTGCCACTGTAGCAACGATTATAGAGACAGGCGGGGATGGAGCTTTTGTAAATCAAAACCAAACATCCCAGCCTACAGTTTCTAAATTCATTCCTAGATACAGTGTTTTGTGTCAGCCCAGTATGATGAAGCCTTACAAACGGAGAGAGGAAGATAGGAAAAAAGGCAAAAGAAAAGCAAATCATGCCACTACCTTAAGAATGGGATGAAAATCCCTGCTGTCTCCCTGGAGCTGGACGTGTCCGTCGCACTCCAAACCTCACCAGGAAAGCTCGGTGTGATGAAACAAAAAGGATTTACCAAGAAAACGGAGAGAAGGCAAAAAAAAAAAAAACCAAAACCCCAAAAAACCCAAACAAAAAACAAAACAAAACAAACCAAAAAACTCAGGAAGAAAAGCTGTATGTCTTTACAGCCTGATCTCTGAAGCTGTAATGCATCTTAAAGCCTATCTACCTCTCTGAAGGGACTTACCACAAGCGTGCAGCACAGGAACTTGTTCATTGTGGTCGGTGGAAGAAACCTCAGCGAGCTGGGAAATCAGGCAGAGAGTCAGCTCCCGCTCCAGTCTCCTAGCAGCCTGCTGACATCCCCCAACATTAAAGACACGATATATATATAGTCCCGGTGTAACAGGAAGCTTTGGCTCAGCTTTGATCACTCATACCCTACCATGACCAAACTTTTCTCTCTCTAAAATAGATTTCCAAGGAAAAAGGATTTTTTTTTTTTTTTTTTTTTTTCTTTTTAAGGAACCTGTAAAACTTGATGACTTAATGGAACCCTTTGAGTGCTCTAACCACAGACTGGAAAATGCAGGAGGGAGTGTCAGGGGCTGGCCAGGGGAGGGTTTTAATTGGGCTCTGTCTGGCTGTCTGGCTGTCCTCCCCCCCTCTCCCCTGAGCAGCTGGCTCGGAGGGGAGACGCGTGCCCTGGGGATGTCAGCGGCTCCCTCAGCACCCCAGGCTGATGGGAGGCACGGTTAAAAAATCACGGCTGGAGGCTGCGCCCCAGGGCCCTGCAGCAGCGCGGCCGCCTGCTCTCAGGGCCCCTGAGCACACGCAGGGCTGCCATTTCCCAGGGAGGGAGAGGGCTC